TTCATTTTGCTGCATCACCACTGCAGAAGCTGAGCACCGTCTGAGCCAGCAGCACAGGATAGCCTATTTTTCCTTTGTCATAACTCAGTTCATGCTGTTCGGTCTGTTGCACTGCAGGCCACTCATTTTCCTCAAACACATATGTAGCTGTAGCACATTGGAAGTGTAGTGACACATCCTAATATCTCTTACATTCTCACTATATGCGAGGTGCTATTGGCCTCAAACACCATAACAGTATTATTAAGGCAGCCACAGAAAAAAGCATTAACAATGCAACACACTTAGGTTTTTATATGAATAATGGGGATATTGTGTTTTTAGCACTAATGTGAAGCTGACCACTGTATGCTCTGAAGCCATACAGAATAGGAGAGATACTGTATGGCACAGATAATTTACAAATCACACAACTGTTTCTCTAATTTACTGATCAACAATGTTAGTGAATTATGTGTACAGTCACCATATTACAGTTTGTCAGTTCAAACCCTGTCCCAGTGCATAGTTTTCATTGAAACAAGCGTTACTAGCCTTTTTCCAGACATGATTCATAATAAAATGTAAGGAGTTAAAGAAGTCCTTCAACCATAAAGGTTGCATCGCCCTACCTCAGAAAATATTTCCTAAATTAGTTAAAGCCTGCACCTGGTCGAGCAATCCTGGTATGAAACAAACTGAGTTCCTTGAACACAGGTAAAAGTGACAATATGTTCAATTCTGTGCAGGTGCAGACCAATTCACTCAAGAGGTTTCAACTAAATGCGATGTTTAAAGAAGCAGCTGTACTGTGACACTGATGAAGAAAATGTCTTTTTGCTGAATAAAGTGATTTTTTGTCACTGTGCGCTTTCCATAAATCTAGTCAGGTTGTTTTCGTGCCTAAACACAACTAAAACATTACCTTAGCATTGTCACATGATAAACGGGTTAGATAGCTATTTTTTACCACTTTATATGTGGCATATCTTATGAAGATATAGGGGCACTAATAGAGGTTTCATCTGCGTGCAGTGTATAAAGAAGCAGTTGAACTGTGAGGCTGTGATACTGATGAAGGCCAGATGGCCAGAAACATTCTGCCTTCTTGCAGAATAAAGTGATTTCTTGTCACTGAGTGTGATCCTAATTTACAATTATTTGATAATACTACCTGGATAACGCACCAGCTTTTCCTGGTGGTGGAATCTATATATAATAGGTTTAGGGAAAGGTCATGGTTAAAATACATTATTTGTCAAGGTTAGAGGACCTTCATCACAGTTACAATAATAAATGCGTGATTATAGGACGGCAATGGTTGTTAAAAGAAACACTGACTGACAGTTTGAAATGCTAAAGTCCAACTTTTTTTGACCTGGCCCTTTGCCCTTTACAGACTTTATCATGTGACATCATCCTTTGCTCCAGTCATAACTGTTAGAGTCACTAGAGGCCTTTTTCACTTGAATATGTGATTCTGTAGCATTTGCTTACTATGGGACACAACTGGCTGCTGGTACCAGTGACCAGTGGACTGTTTTTATTGGAGAGTAGTATAAAAAAAACAGACCTTTCCTGGTTTGACCATGAAATCACTCACTATGGTCTTGTCACCCTCCCTGTTCAAAATATCCTAACACTTCCATATTCTTCAAGAGTCTACTTAAAGTTCTGCTTTATTTGTGTGAACATACTATGTTGAATAATTCCCCCCTTTGACCACTAGTGTGCATACCTTATAAAATAAACTGCATCATTATAAATTAAATCAGAACCCATCAGGTGTAATAAGTAACGATGAGGTTTACAACACCAATGCTAAACATGACATAACTGTGCCACTCATGTGTTACTAACAGTCTATTTCCCTATAGTATACATTACAGTTGCCAGGCACAGTATTTGCTACTATGAATGAACTGCACAGCATGTGAAGACTGAGCATGTTTGCATTTCCCAGGACTGAAAGTACAGTAACACAAGTTAGATAATAAAGAAAATATGTGTATTAGAAACCAAACTACAAACATAGATTGACAATGAAAGAGTCAAATGGATTCTGCCTTACTTCAAAAAGACACGGCTACTCTTAGTCACAATGTAAAATAAGATCTTGTAACCCAAAAGGCAATATGTAAAAGGTAAAATCTCTTATCATAGAAGTGTGCTATCAGCAGCTAGAAGCTGTGCCTCCAGGTTTTCTTCTCTAAATAGCAAAATGACAGTAGCAGAGAGGCTTAATGCACACACACACACACAGCATAAGGCATTTTGTGCGTTCTCCTTGTGTAGCTTTCATCCATGCAGAGCCGTTTTAGCCTGAGGCCTTTGTGAATGCCACTTCTGAATGCTTGGGTGCTCAAAACACAGTTGTAAAACATCACTTATTCAATCAGCAAAACCACAATAACCTGCTCCATAGCATTTCCTTTTCTCTTATTTTCCATCCAGTGGTTTACATCTAGTGGCCAAAAAGGTTGTGTTTTTTTTTTTACTTGCTTTGCTGTTTTGACCACATTCAACACCAACATGTACTGTACTTAACACTGACAGGCTTATTAGTAATAATAAAACTGCTGGGGTATATTTTGACTTCATTGGACCAGTTCTTTAACAGAAGCCAAATTAACTTCAAATTATGTTCAATATTTAGGATTAAGGCTTTCAAAAACAGTAAAAAAAAGAAATCCGTGCATCTGTCTAGAGAGCACCCCACATTTTGAATACTACCCCGTGTTTGTTTTTCTGATCTGTGAGCTCTGCAGCACAAGATGTTCACCAAGGGAGATAGAACTTATTTGCTTCCATTTCAGTGGCAGTGGTACATGTAAGAAATGTAAATACTTAAACCAAAAAAGAAAACCTGTAACAAAAGGAAGTGTTTGGTGATCTTCAAGAATAATATAAGCAAGCTATCCATTAGTGGAAGCTTAGGCAGAGCTGGCGGGTGGCATTGTGGGTAGGAACTGCCTTTAGATCAGAGAATGCACTGTATTTAATTTGCAATACTTGTTTGTAATTGCTAGACTTTCTGAGACCCATGTCACTTCTCACACCCCTCACAGATAGACAGACAGATCCCTGCACAGGAAAAAGCCAGTGAGAGATGGAACAAACAGTTTATTCCTTCGTACAGCTATCCAGCATCCGCTAATCAATAGTTACTCATGATGTCTGGATATCTTCCTCTCTTTCTCTTTGCCCTGGCTGAACCTTATCTTTTTCTTTCTTTCCTCTCCATACTTTGTCCTTCTCTGACTTGCCCCTTTTGCCCCTTTTGTATCCTTTTTTCTTTTTATACATTTTCTTTGCTTCACATATTTCTTCTTTTTATCTTTTCAGTTAACCATCTGTTTTCCATTCTCCACTTCCTCTTCACTGATGTTCTCATTCTTATTCCCTCTTTTCCCCCTTATCCCTCTTAGTTTCTAATATTTAGTATCACTGTCTCCTATCATTCCCATCTCTTCACCCCTACCACTCTCCTTGTCCTGCTGTCTCTCATCTCTTACATGCACCACAGTAGCTGACTCTAAGGCAATCAAACAGTGGGAGTTTTCAACACAGCAGATGCGCTGGATGGATGGCAGGATGAGGGTGAGCAGCATACAGACTGGATGCTTGGAGGAGAGAGGACACATGTCTGTTTCAAGTCAGAGACAAGACAGAAAAAATCTCAAATGGCAGAAAGGGCTAAACTTTAAATATCAGTTTTAAAATGTTCTTTAAAAATGCTTGGGCTTGAGAGGATTTTGACTAAACAAGACTTGCACTTCAGTGTTTTGCTGTTGCCAGAAGATTGTGGTTGCTGTATGATTGTCAGGTGACTATGTTTATCAGTCAGGTTTTCCATTTAAATGTCTCTTTTGTTGTTTTACTGCTAACAGTATATTATACCTATAGTGTTTCATACTGAGAACACAGCATACTGGCACACATAACACTACTTGAGCTAATGTGACAGGCATTATCACCACTGTGTTCTGCATGGCGTGACAGACTTAATTACCTCAGTGCCATGAGTCAAGCATTTGCCATCCACAGTCTATTTGCGCTCAGTCACACAAAGATGACTGGGAGTACACGCTGAGCTTGACATAGCATTCCTCCCTCCCATATCACCCACCCTCCTTATTGTTGTTATTGTTGTTACTGCTGCTGCCATGCTAATTAATTCAAGACTCCAATAATAAAGTATAAGTAGCAAAACATAATGCCAAAGCCCTGGGGAGCCAACAGCATAATTACACAACAGCTTAATTTGCAAGAGATACACTGTAATCAAACGCTGTGTGGCTTGTAAAACTTCATCATGTGCATGTTAAATGGTGGAAACGGGCTGAGAGAGTTCTCAAGTGCTTCCTATCATTTGACACATCAAAAGAGTAGACAACTGTATCTAATGCATAGTAAAACCGAGTTGTTAGGAGGATGAAAGGAGAGTTGTGATGGGGCACACTGCAGGCAGTGTCAGTGGGTGCATGAGAAACAAATAGAGCAACAAGTTATTTCTACATAAAACCATGTATATGAGAGAGTAAATTAAAATACCCATCTCTGTTTGCTTTGTTCAAAACCTACTTCATGTTTTAATCTTCTAAATAACCAAACATCTGAGTCGGCCTGCTGCCTCTTTTCCTGAAACAAGACAGAGAAGGAGCCGTCGCTGTCCGTGGTTCTGAAAGCTTCTGGAGTTGTGTACACCTCCTCGCGCTCAGCACCCCGTCCTGCTGCCGGCTGCACGCGCTTAATTTGGCTCTGTCCTCTGTGCATGTATTGATTAATTAAGATTTGGCCGGCGGGTGGCGGACAGCTAGCTTTCATCTATTAACGGCCGCCTCCGTGGATGTCTCCAGGGAAAGACATCTCAAACATCTACAAAATGATTGCCAGTGCGGCTGACATTCAACTTTTATGAGGGAATATCAGTGTGGGCTCATGGAGTGGGCCGCGCGCACAGAGACACAAGCACACACATACACGTACACATAAAAGACACAGACACGAACACGCTCTACCTGTATAGTTTGGCGGTTGTAGACTTTCACTACATGGAAGTTAAAACTGTAAATCCCTTTGCGCGGCGCGATGAAATTACTTCTCTCCTCGTCAAAATGTTTCCCAACGTTTACTAGAACCTGAAAGAAAGAAAGAAAGAAAAAGAAAGACAGAACAAAGAAAGGAAGAAATAATTTTTTTAGGCCTTTTATGCTTCGTGCACTCAGAAAACAGGACACACTGGTGCATAAAATGTATTACCACGGACATCCTGAAAAACAAACGTTAACCAAACTCTGCATCTTAAAAAGCAAACTATCCCAAATGTATTCAAACAACTGATTCTCAAGAAGCTCAACGTGGATTATTTAGTAGGCCTACTGAATTGTTTAGTTGTTTAAAAACGGTCATTATCGATTTCATTTTCTGGATAATTTCTACTGGTAATCTATTGAAATTGATACATTCCCTGTCTCGTTCTTCATAGAGGAATCTGAAGGGCCCCTGTGGTCCCCGACCACACATTCAGATTCACTGATGGAGAGGAATAATTGATTTTATCCAAGCTTTTTGGTCAGAACTTCCAAACTTTATGGGGACATCAATCAAATTTCAAATGAAAATTTCAATTATGCATTTCTGCAGCCAAATGCCTAGTTTTATGGATGCGGGCGAACTATGGCTTGTAATTGAACGGCAGTTTTAAGGGGAATTGACCTTTAACGGCAGGCGCGTATAGGACCTCACCCTCGAGACCTGCCTTGCTAAATTATTTGGCGCGATGTCGGTTCCCATATTATAATCAGCAAAAAAGTTGAAATGGCCTACCCCTACTCAAAGTCTTGCTTACAAGGCAATACTTTGGAAATGTATTATCAAAAATGGATGTCTCTTTTCCGCTCCACTTTCGGTTATCCCCAACAGCGCAGCTCTCTGCTGTCCACGAGACCAGTATCAGATGTTCACAAGATGCAGCTGCGTCTACGTCCAGTCGCTGTAGTATACACCCAACTGTCTAATTTGACCTGGATTCTTGGTTTTACCGTCTTTTCTATAATCTTACACAACATGCCCCCATTGCACAGCCTTTATTCAATATTTGGAGTTTTTACTAAAGAATCAAAGAAGCAGCCTCGAGGATGTCTCCGCGCAGGATGAGCAGCACATTCTAGCGATATACTGTATGAAATGTTATACTTCCCTGCAACATTAGTCCAATTTGTGTCCCCTCCATGTGCTATTTGACCGCTATCACACCGGTCAACATGCATGCCCCGCATTTAACAGACGCACATACTATCCCAAACTTCATATGTGCGCTAGTCATTACTGCTTGAAGTAATAATTTGAAATAAAAAAAGACTAAAACGGACTGAACATAATTTAAAACGTACTGTGCTTATTTGATTTTGTTGCTATTAGAACCTAATAGAATATAAGATATTGCAATATGAGAATTCTTCCTACCCGGTCGAAGTAGATGACCATGGTCCGGTTGCTCATCTCGGAGGGCTCATGGTTGGTGTTCCGGACTGCGGAGAACGCCACCTTGGCGCTGCCCGAGCGCACCGAGATCCCGAGCGCCGTGCCCGTGGGGTCCGAGGTCGGGTTGGAGTCGCAGACCACTAGGCACTTCCCCTCCAGGACGATTGGTTCTGTCTCGTTCTGAGCTCGGGCCGGGCTCGCCGCGAGCCACACGGCACTCAGCAGGCAAAAGGCCAACATACCGGACCAGAAAGAACTTCTTCGTTCGTCTTCTCACCTTAAACCGTGGGTCTATTCCCCTTGTAAAAAGTAAGGTAGGAAGAGTTTCCGGTTGTCCCCCGAAGAACCTCGAAAACGGTCGTTTTACAACTAAAGTCACTCCGTTTTCTTCTGATTAATTAGCTTACAGCAAGTATTTCTCCCACGCGGACCCTCTATGAGGATATTTTAATCTTCTTTCCTCCCTTTTTTAACATCAGTTTATTACCCCCGTATCTCCGGTCGAGTCCCCAGTTTTCACCTGTTCTTATCCTTCTTTCTTACTTCTCAGCAGTTTTTCTGTCACTCAGAAATACGATAGGGAGAAGCGGAGCGGAGGGGCCCTGGACTAGTGACCAGGCAGCAGAACTCATAGCGCGCGCGCGGTGCTCCGTCTGCTCTCTTTCTCGCGTGCTTGAATTATTGATATGTGAGATATGAGAGTTTCAAACACAAAAAGCTCAAGAGGAGGGACGCGGCGCGCGAGCAGATGCTCCCGCCTCGGTCTTCCTTTGTTTTGACAACCCCCTCCCTCCCGTCGGTAACGGAGACCCATCATCATATTAGCGCGTGCGCGTCTTCGTTATTTTCCAATCACCGCGTGGCGACCGCCCCTCTCCGCCTCACCACTTTATCTAGCATCTCTCTCTCCCTCTCCCTCTCTCTTCCCCTTTCTTCCCTTTCTTACAGGTATTCTATCTATCTATCCATCTATCTATCACTGCTCCCACTATATTATATCTCAAAAGTCTATATTTCTAATCTACACACTTGTTCTCTTTGTTCTCACTCTTTCTCTCTTCACTTTCTTCCACTCCATCTCTCTCTCCTTTCCTCTCTTACCCTCCCAAACAGTATCATCTCGGCAGCTTGCAGGTGAACTACAGAAAGCAGCAGCACTCCTCATGAAGGAGGAGCCATAAGATGAACACACACAGCCCACACTTATGATGTAATTTGCTAGTCAACATCATCATCATTATTGTAATCATCATTATCATTATAACTGGAGCAAAACAAAGTATTTAAACTGGTGTGCAAACAGCAGGAAGTCATAATAGGTGTAGAGATGAAATCTCTCCATGTGTAAATACCCCCTGAAGTTATGTAAAAATCCAGTCTGCAGTGGGATTTATTACCAAATGAGTGCAAACAGACATAGAGCAAGTAAAGCAAAAAAAGGCACAATTTCAAGCAAAATGAAGCATTTTTAATACCATGGTGTTTGTAAACACTACCACAGGATGGTGCAGCAATGCAGAAAGTATGCCAAATGAGCACCAGTGGGAAACAAACCAACAGGGACAAGCAGACATGAGTTTTTCTTAATATTCCAGCGATTCAGTATTACACTTCCATAAAACGGGGGAATTTGAAGAATGGTCAACGCTCATGCTGAAAAGGGTGAGATGTCCTGACATATTCTCTAGCAAGGTTCAAACTGTAGAAACGGAATCCTGTAGTATCCGTAACGGCTTTTCAAAGAAATAACGTGTTACTTGACTCATTTTCCCAGACATCGAAAGCTCCCTGCCTCGTACACTTTTACACATAGTAAATTGATTTTGGTATGTAAAATTTGTGGACTACCCCTTCAAATGCTCCTTCATGTGTGTTAAGACCGATTAATCTTAGTCAAACAGTACAAAAATTCTGAGGTAATATCCAAATAATATCATCCTGTCAGCTACATTATTAATAACTGCCTGCTTTGGTTTCTGCTGTCGGAGGTCTTCATTTAACTGCAGGGACACCTTCAGTTGACCTAAGCTGGAGTGCAGTGGCTCTAAAGGTAAATGCCCAGCAAAGCTTAAAATGTGTACTGTATAATACACGATCAAAATACCACACACACTCCAGCTCTGGCAACATAAGCCTTTTGCTTTTAACTTGATGATTTCTCTGTTTTGTCATTAGTCATTACGTTTCTCCCAAACTTATCTGTAGTCATCCTTTGTTTCCAGCATCTTCCCTTTTCTCTCCTTGACATGTTTCTTTCCTTCTTTTAACACTCCTTTCCATGTTTTTCATTTCCAGCCAGTCCTTTTCCCTCTATCTTTGTCTTCCTTTTTATTCTGTATCAATATTTCTTTACTTTACTGTGCCTTTTCTCATCTTCCAATTGATTTTTGCTTCCATTCTATCTACCTCTGTCCTTTCTCCCTTTCATACCTCCATCCCTCCATCTCTTCTTCTCTGTCATTCTGCCCACTCCCTTTGCTTCTTTGCTGCTTTTTTCTCTTTCTTTTGTTCTTACACCTGTCCTTATTGTTCCCATCTCTTCTCTCCTGCTCTTTGTCTTCCTCTGGTTTTCCCCTCCCTCCTCTCTGTCATTCCTGCAGGTTCCCTCCCTGTCTCTCCATTGCTGTTTCTCTCTCCCAGGGGTTCCCTTCAGCCTCTAATACAAGCTGACGGTGAATGACAGGCCAAAAGGACTTCTCTCAGAAGTAAGACGCAGGGGATGAGCTACATTGCCTCTCTTTCTCTCTTTCTTACATGCACACAGACACACACACTCTCTCTTTCTGTCATACTCAAATATAGATGCTGTCACATACTCAAATCTCAATTTTCCTTCCGCGCTTTCATTGCTCTTTTGCCAACCACACTCTCTGTGTGTGTTAGTTGTCTGGGGTTGTCACAGTCACACAGGAAGACCAGAGCTCATTGTTTCTCAGGGTGACACTGGCCTGACTGCAGTTTAACTGGACTGACAGACACAAGCAAGCTGCCACCTCACACCTATTTCTTGTACTGTATGTGTGTCAATGTGTGCATGTTATGTCTGTGAGTGTGTGTTGGTTTTTGCTCAGCAGAGATTTGAGAACAATCATGGATATCATAGTCGTCTCCTCTGGACCACGAGGCCTGTCTTCTTTCCTGACTGCCTGCCTGTCCACCTGCCAGCCTAATCACCTGTCTGTCTCTCATGCTTGGCTGTCTGTCCGCCTACCTGCCTGCTGCCGATGATGCTGTCTAGCCTCAGACTCTGAGGCTGCGCAGTGCTGACATGACATTTAGGCAGTGAGATGACCAAAGTTCATCTTCTGGGGAATAAAGAAGGACAAAGGCAAAATAATCAAATAAAACATAACATGAGAAACAAACATTACTCTAATCATAATTATGATGATACTGTAGGCAATTAAAGATAAGGTGAAGAAAAATATGGCGTTATTTGGCATATTGTCCTATTGTCGTCAGAGAACTAAGATGTGTTGTGTGCAAGCTAATTAGGTGTGAGCACTGAAAGGAAGATATGGAATTATATTTATTCTGCTGTTATAGCTTTAAATTGACTGTTTGGGCTATTATTACTAAAGCAAAGTAAAATAGATGTACTGTAGGCACAAGTAGAATCATTTCCCCAGGGTAACTGTCGAATTAGTTTTGATAGTGTTGTACAACAGCAGCAGGAAAGTGAGCCCATCAGCAAGAAAAGTGGCTAATTCTATGTATTTATTCTGCATGTCCCTAGGTGTCATTCCCTATGAGTGGTGCAGAGCTGACTTGAGGCACAGAGGAAGTCCTTTAAAGAAACCGCAGAGAAGGCTGTCTCATTTCAAAATGAACTGTATGAAGCATCTCAAATTGCAGATGTGGAACTGTTGAAGAAACATAGCTCCCAAAGGCTGTGAGCTGTTCTGACAAAAAGAAGGATTTGACAGAGGAGGCAGCCTGAAGAAAAGAGGCAGAGCCTGTGGGAAGACCAGAGTTTAACCTCAACTTGGTTTTTACTTGTTGAGGATAGCTGAAGGGGCTCAAGGCTGCCATGAGACCACAGTTATAAATAACCAAACCTCTGCCAAAGCCTGGCAACAAAGCTTTTTAAAAACGTTTGTTGCTCTGCAGGCTGATAATATGAAAACAATTTTGAGCAAATCATTTTTAAACTCTAATTATGCTGTCTATAGTCATATATATGATACAATTACATTTCACCACCCACAGCAAATTTCCAATTAAAGATTAGTAAACAAGTCTGGCTGCAGCTCTTCCAATGTCTGCCTAGTCACACCATCCCCACCTACCCACCTACAAGAAAGAAGAACTGAGCAAGTTGAACCTTCTGTGTTCCACACACTGAGACATGCACTATAAATTGTCAAAGTACAAGTTCCTGGGAGCCACAGAAACCTCCTCTGTGACTGGGACAACTTGCACATCTGCTTCCTCCCAGCCGAACAACTGGAGTTTGGAAAAAAAAGCTGCTGGTTTTCTTTATTTCCTTCTTCTTCATTTTTACAATAAGTTTATTTTTTCTGTCAGTAGCTGATATTACTGTAACTACTGGTAATTAAGCTACGGTACTGTGCAAAAGTCTTAGGTCACCATTAGTTTAGCTGTTTTAGCAAGGTTGTAATGATAATTTATGTATATTTATTTCTCAGTGTCTTTATTAAGATATAACCAGAAAATACAGAAAATATGTAAAGAATATTACAAAGCAACATTTTCAGAACAAAATGGTTTCTACAGTCCAAAGTCAGTATTTAGTGTGACCTCCCTTTGCATTTAGTACAGCTTGAATTCTTTTGGGGAGACGGTCTTTAAACCATGACAGACCCTCTGGCACGTTTTACTGAAGGCAGCTACACCCTTTCTTACTCTCTCTCCAACTCTTCTTCTCACATACTGTTGACAATTGGACCTGAACATTTCAAACTTCCATTCATCACTCCAAGAGACTCTTTACCACTGATCTTCACTCCAATCTTTGCAAGCTTTTGCATAGCTCAGCCTTTTCCCCTGTCTCCTGAAAAAGTCACTTCTTAGCTGCTGTCTTTCCACATAGGCTGTTCATGATCAAGTTTCTTCATACCTTGGAATGTTCAACCTCTAGTTGGGCTGGAGCCAATCCCAGCTGACACTGGGCAAGAGGCGGAGTACACCCTGGACAGGTCACCAGTCTATCACGAGGCTGACACTTAGAGACAATTAGTAGTTACTAGGTACAGTGGGGCAAATAAGTATTTGATACACTGCCGATTTTTCAAGTTTTCCCACTGACAAAGAATGGACAGATCTGTAATTTTCATCGTAGGTACACCTCCACTGTGAGAGACAGAATCTACAAAAAAATCCAGTAAATCACATTGTTAGAGTTTTAAATAATTTATTTCCATTTTATTGTATGAAATAAGTATTTGATACAATAGAAAAATAGAACTTAATATTTGGTACCAAAACCTTTGTTTACAGTTACAGAAGTCAGACGTTTCCTGTAGTTCTTGACCAGATTTGCACACACTGCAGCAGGGATTTTGGCCCACTCCTCCATACAGGTCTTCTCCAG